GACCTGCTGCTAGCCCATCATCTCTTCTCATCATTTCCTCTGAGCCCAGCCATCTCCGATCCCCCCACCTGAGTTCTCCCACTACACTCACCTGTCACAGCAAGTCTTCGCTGCCGCCTCCAGCTCCTCAGCTGCAACTTCCTCAAACTCTTCCTCCTCTAACAAATTTACCAGTATATTGACTGTCATCGCTATACTTGTTTTTTCTGTTATAATAAAGATCTGTACCATGTCTGCCACCTGTTGCTCTCTCACCCTCCCGTGAGAGCCGATAACAGTAATGTCATGTATCCATTGTCTTGTGTCCGGACCTGTTCTGTTAATGTGTTACTTCCTTTCAATAAAGGAAAAAAATATTTTTTGCATTTTTCACATAAGTATAAAATTTTGCACTGCAATTTTTTCCAAAATGTGGAATGTTTTAAAAGCTTTCCATGTCCCAGTTACTGAGGCCACTGTGCTGCTGGGAGCACCCAGAGCTTTAGACATGGTTTGATCCCCTGGTCCTGATCTGGGCCACATCACAGTCTGACCACAGAGGTCCACAGAGAGCTCTTGGACTTCATGTCCTGGTTTGTGTCCTAACCCGCAGTGTGAACTGTGGGACCTTAGGTGTGTGTCCAGTCAGCCCAGTTTGTCATAGGAGGACTCTGGTCAGGTTCTGGACACCTGAGAAGGAGTTTTAATAAAAGGGAGATTTCAGTTTTTGCTTTTAAAACTAAAACATTTTCACTGTGTTATTAAATGCATGCTGATCAGCAAAAATGTCAGTTGTATTCATTTAAAGTTAAATCAACAACACAGTAAAGTGAAGCAGCTTTCTGGATGTATGATATTCCCTGAACTACAGTGGTTTTTATTCACAGTGACACCGATCCAAAAACCTCTTGTCATCACTCGGCTTCAAACTGTGAAACATAAAGCTGAATCTTTCTGCTGTTCAGTTTATGTTTAGTTGAAAAACGGAGCCCGATCTGAGCCATTGAGTGTGAATAGCACCAAGGAGAACACACAGTCCTGACCTGTCCCTTCCACTTCCACCTGGAGACATTGAAGGAAGGGATGCCAGGAATCTAACCTTCATTAGCAGCTGAGTGCAGATCTAGCTCCTGTGTCAGCTCCTACAGCAGGACGTTTGCACAGACCGTGTGTAAATAACTAATTAATACCCCTCTCTGACAATGACATCATTGTAAACAGTTGCATTTGATTGGCTGATGAGGTGATAAGGGGCCTATTTTGAAAGCTTCTGAGCATTGCGAGGCGTTCGCTGACAGCCTGGCTCACACACCCGGCTGGAGACACAGTGAGAAGCACGTACAGCAGTCCTCCACCCAGAGGTCAGAGGCCAGCTCTGTCTGTCCACAACAATGACACATGAAGGAAAACTGTATGCTGCATGACAACATGGCACCCAACTCACTTCTATGAAACTTGCTCAGTGGCGCATACTCCAAAAAACATTTCCTGATTCTGAATTCCAGCCAAAAAAGGCTAAAACAACCCAGATGTTTTGCATGTTTCGGTGTTTTGGCTCACTAGTGCTGAGCCAAATGCCTTCCTGTTGACTCCCGGCACATGAATGGGATCAAATAAAAACATCCCGCAGTGTTTCTAGGCTTTCCAAACAAACCTGGATCCAGTGGAATTTTATATCAAATTCTGACATACTGTAAAAAGGGTCATTTCACAGGTTTGCCACGCTCTGAAAATGGACAGCCAGAGAACGCTGTTTGGGCCAGTGTGCATCGGGATGAAGCTGTAGTAGCACAGTTTGGACACTATTAAAAACTGTGACACAGCCCAGCACCGTTCTTGGAGGCTTGGCCCAGAGGCGCCAGTCTGACATTTTCACACAGTAATAAACATCAGTTCAGTCTTGGCCCTGAAAACAACAGTTAATAAAACAATTTGAGCCCCAGGTCCATTTAGCAGCAGGTCTTTCCTCACACATTACAACAACTCACCTTTATTAATCGGTAAAGCCCTGATTTGGTTTTAATCTCCACCTATAAAAACATTCCCACATTTAGCCGGTAAGAGCTCCACAACAAACGGCAGTAATCGGCAGCCAAGACTCTTCCAACTGTTCCAGAGTCAGAAAAACTAGACGTTTTCATCCTGAACTTTGGAATAACTAAAAGATGGTGAAAACAAGATTTTTAAAACCAATATGGAAACTTTAGTGCAGGTGTGATGTGTTCCAAACTACACCTCAGTCATGGCGGTGAACTCAGAGGATACAAAGGGAGTATAAATGATGCCCTTTGTCCCCATTAGCCTCTGTTCTGGCCTTTTGCCACCGAGGTCAAGAGCCATCCAGTTTTTACTAGAACCCAAACAGAGAGACTGATGTAGCGATAACAGCCACAGAGGGAGGGCTCCATTAGTGAAGAGCGCTGACAGACTCTTCCTTACCAAACAACTGATGGAGTCTAAATGATCTCCCCATTTGTCCTCGTTCTCCCGATGAGCTCATGTGTGATCTTGAGTTCTGATATTGTGGCTTCTTGTAAAGTCTTGCTATTTTTAAACAGAGGAACGAGCAAAGAAACATGTTCCGCATCGCCTCCGCCCTCAGGTTTAACATCAGATGTTGAACAAACCAGTGCAGAGGCTTAAGATCCCTGCAGCGTTAATATCAGGGCTCCGAGTGAAGACAGAGCACTGACTGTTCAAAGGAAAGAAAAACATGGTTTTCCTTTGTTGGTTTTTCTTCTCTTTTATTTTGAAATGCACAGCCCCCCATCTCAACACCTGTATTTTATCTTGAAACACCTGTTCTACCTGAGACAGGAAGACGACTGTGGTGACTTGTTTTAAAATATGAAATGTTCTTTGAGACAATGTTCACTGTTGAGAGTTTGTACTGGTCCAAACCAACAAAACTGAACCCAACAGAGTTCAAAGATCTGAAGAGAGTACCAACGCTGTGTTGGTATTAAATCATTATTATTTTTGGGCATTTCACCTTTATTAAGGAATATATAGGGAAAATGGATCGCTGCGAGGTGGACCAGCGCTCTGGAGACCTGTGTGTTTCTATCTCATGTGACACTGGACACAGTCCTGCCAGTGGTTTTCCACTGATTAACATCTGGCTGTGATAATGCACCAACAAACTGCAGTACCGATTTAGATTAAATCCAGGCAATATTTTAATGGCTCAGCTGTGCAGCAACTGAGTCGGAGAATTTACTCTTATCTCCATGTTTGTGGGTTTCTCTGCAGAGATGTGAAGAAACTCGCTATTTGCTCTGCAGGGCCCAGGACACGGTGTGACCCTCCCCGGCCCCAGTTACCCCCTCTGGGTGTGGAGCCGTGCACTGAGAGCGCCTCTTCCTTGTTTTGATTGTGAGCAGGGAGAGGCTCAGACTTCACCATGTCATCATGAAGAAGGAGCGAGCTGTGTGAAGACAGAAGCAGGCGTGAAGAGTTTCTGATCCTGAGCGGCTGGTGGGGGCACATGACACTGTGAGTTCAGATCTGGAAGCTTCAGCTGTGATGTGAATGCAGCCTTTGACTAAAACGCTCTCTAACTCTGAACAGGTGTGCAGCCTAAACATCTCATGTCACTCTGTTTGTTCTCTCTCCGTTAATCCCCATTAAAAGCCAAATCCCACTGATGTATTTAGTCCTGCTGTGTGGAGACTCTCAGTTTCAGACGACTGCTAGGTTTGGCTCCTGATCCCACCTCCTGGTGTCTGAACTGTGGGCCAGAAACCTCAACACCAACCCCCTCACAAGCAGGACCACCAGCACAAGTCCTGCTCCAACATGACCCGGGTGAAGTGTACAGAACCACATATAAAATGGAAAAAGAAGAGTTGTGGATTTCAGAGACATTTGACTCATGCAGCTGTTTGTCCTCTGAGTGTGTTTTCTGTCAGTTGGAATTTTTTCCTACCAACAGCCTCCCGGCCAAATCTTGTCATCTGTGGTCACTGCACCCAGAGCGTTCAGTCGGGTCCCCTCCTCTTCATCACGCTGCTATCTTAGCTCACCAAACCACAGCATATAAATAGCATGTGTGCGTCAGACTCCAGAGACTGCTCTTCTGGTGTCCTCTCAGTTCACACTCCTCAAAGCTGTGTGTAATCTCACTGGCAGGACCGGCAGCTCCCAGTGCAGACATCCCAGTACTTCCAGTCAGAAACTGGTTTGGTTGCCGTCACACTTTGCATTGTCAAAATGTATCTGAACTTTTTAGAGGACATCTGGGCACCAGCACTATGTTAACAGCAGTGGTAGAAGAATTTCCAGAGGACACTGCAAAAACATTTTACAGGTCCTGAATTTTATCAGAAAAACTGAATGAGCAGATATTTGAGATATTTCCAAGAAAGGCAGATGCAGTTTGGTATGTTTGAGTTCTTAGGGAAAAAGCTATGATGCTTATGGTGCAGGAAAGTGAAAATAAGCCACAAACGTGAAGATTCACATGAGTACATCCTAAAAAACAAACAGGGTGATTCTGCAAAAACCTGGACTGTCTTTGTAAACACTGAAAATGTTCCGTTTGTTTTTGAAAAGTTAATTATGAAAAGAACCGACAGTAATATTTTGTAAACAAAAAATAGTGATTTGCATTATTTTAACAGCCCAATGACACAACACTTTGTCTGCATTATTAATAAATGAGAAAATGTCCTATTATTTCCATTTCTGTCTCTTCAGTTACTGACATGATCAAACATGTAGTTTATGTGATCATAAAAGCAACGCTCCGTTTACCTTCAGGGCCAAAATAAAAGCAAAGCTTCCATGATTCTGATTAACTGACCTTTTCAGACATGTTGGACACTGTCAGGTCCGCTCGGTGCGACCTGCCTCTCTTCCGCCTTTCTCTCCCCTGCTCTCGACCTGCGGGATCTGCACCTCAGCTGTGTTGCATTCAGTAATTAGCGACTCATTTGTCGGTGCGCACAGCTGGGGTGCATTCCTATGATTACCCTACTCCTTATTTATACCTCTGGCAGACGCTCCGTCATCGCTGGAGTGTTAACTTGCAAACCCTGTAACAGACCTATACTTGTGGTATGTATTGTACGTCATTTTGTTTTCCACGCTGACAGTTCCTGTGCTGTGGATCTCATTTTGTGCGTTGGTTACTTGTTTTGTGTTATACGTCTCTAGATGTCCACGCTGACAGTTCCTGTGCTGTGGATTTCCTTTTCGTTCGCCAGTCCTCCAGGTTGGTTTATCTATTCACCTGTCTGTCCAGGTCTCCTCCACTATCTCTGCCCTACTTTGCTGTTATATGTATATGGACTATGATACGTGTTTTTTTGTTATTTTCCCTCATTAAACCACCTTTTTTCACTAGCACCTGGGTCGCAATCTTGAGTCCTACCATGGTTCTCCCTCGCCCTCCTGGTGAGGGGGACTAAACTGTAACAGACACGTCCACCACAACTGGCTATGTCATTAATGTTGCAGGCTCCTATTTTTGAATTCTTTCAGACAGTCAGGACGAGTGGACTCTGAAAACACCACTGTCATCAGAGTGAGACAGCAGGAAACCCCTGACAAGTAGCTTCACTCCATCTCATCAAGCCCACACCGAGCTAACGTAGCTGCAGACAGAACATCTCACTGGACTCCTCTCCTCATCCTCTCAGCACTGGAGCAGATCAAGATGAGCTGATGAACGTCTGTGAACAGCAAAAGGTTTTGCAAGGCACTGTTGGATTCCAGGTGCTGTAGAACTGACCAGTAACACAAGATGTGTAAATTAAAAAATGTGTATTCAAACTGGAAACACCAATGAAGAAAAGGCAAGGGAAAGCAGTGGGAGGAGCATTTGTAGTCCCTGACCTCAGGACACCAGAGACAAACAAACCTGAAGGATTGTGGGAGAAGATGCAGATTGCTGATGAGCAACCTGCTCACTATAGCAATGTCGTGTGATTTGTTCACTTCTTGGTGAGCATGTAGGAACATCGCAGTCACAGTTTCTGGTCTGGCTTGTGATATCTGAGCAACTGTTGGTCTGGATTTAAATAAAATGTTAGCATGTCTGGCTAATTAGCCTTGGCTACATCCTTGACTGTTTGTGAACAGGAAGTCTGCCACACACTGGAAGTAAAAGCTGA